CCTAAAAAATGAACATTACAAATGACTAACTTAATTAAATAATCAAAGCGATGTCATACAATTTATAATCAATTAACATACCCTATCTCGACCGATGACGAAATCGGGCAGTTGATCGTCCGGTGCAGTTAGAGCAGATAATTCGCGAATATAACTATGACTCTCCTCCTCGATCGACGGTGCAAACTTAGTGAGGACTTCAAACTGAAATAATGCATTTTACAAAGTTAATGACCATGTATTAAGATTTTAAAAGGACATGTAGCATAAATCACAAATATATAATATGTACCTCAGGATCGTCAAGGAGAGATGATAACTGTCTGACAAGCGATTTATCTTGTGCTTGCCAGTGATGCATTCGAGGGCAGTATGTCTCCTTTCTCCTTGCATACTGACTAGCTGTAATGGGGACAGTCCCGTACACCTATATTTGCAGCAATTACAATTATTATACATATAATTTAATACAAAATAGATAATTCATCATGTTAAACATATACCTGTAAAGCCAACGGCGTCCATATGCTTTGTACTTGTGCTCGGACCTATCCCTCTTAGGCATCGAATACCCCTTCTTGAAGACATGTAAGGTATCTATAAAACATCCCCGTCCCCATGAATAGTTGTTGAAGGTATCAATGTCATCGACAACCTCCAAATGGAAAATGTCAATCGATGTCTTTTTGTGATGACACTTGAGCACGCTCTCGAGGATAAGCACCAAGCCCAACTTCAACTTATCTGACATCTGATGGCATCCCTTAAATGCTTCTCTCAACTGCGCCAAAGTAACAGTCATCTAGCCACAAAATACTCATTCAATAGCCTTTTGTTCCTCGAAAGACGAGACTTCATCGTTTCTTCGTTCGTACATCGTAGTCCAGTGATGAGGGCAAACTCGAATATGGAGAATGTCCCTATCTTGCACCCAAGATCAAAATAGAAGGCATCTCCGTCAACTGGCTTAAGCAGTCGACATAGCAATGCATCAAGCAGCTATCCTGAAAACTGTACGTCGCGTGAGGAATACAAGGGCCATAAGCATGATCGATGTAGTATGTCTATGTGCTCTTCATCTAATAAATCTAATACTGAAGTGAAGCTGGCGAAGTTACAGTTTGACGTAACTTTGTTGAAAATCTGTTTGACGGCGTCGTTCAAATAATATTCCACCCTGCAAAATTTCAAATGTCAGAACCATGTACAAGAGGTAATGGATAAAAAATAATATTAGAAAATGAAACTAATAAACTGTTACTATACGCATTATCAACAGATAATGGAACATTTAATTGTTTATTATATTAATTATTTAATTACCTATTTTAATTACTATTTTTAATTTTTTTGTAGTACTTAATTTATTTGTTTATTCTAACATTTAAATAATTATTTTAATTTTTTATGTACATTATATATTTATTTGTTTGTTCTAACATTTATTTGTAGTACTTAATTTATTTGTTTATTTTAACATTTAAATAATAATTTTAATTTTTTATGTACATTATATATTTATTTGTTTATTCTAACATTTATTTGTAGTACTTAATTTATTTGTTTATTCTAACATTTAAATAATTATTTTAATTTTTTATGTACATTATATATTTATTATTTAATTATTTATTACGAATTTTAATTACTTAATTTCAATATTTTATTAACATTCAATTTGATTATTTATGTTAATATTTTAATTAAAAATTTTAATTTTAATTATTTAATTATTTTATTAATTCTCAATTTAATTTTTTATTTAAACATATCATTAGTTACTGTTAATTGTTTATGTATATTATTATTTAATTACCTATTTTAATTGCTTAGTTTAATTATTTTGTAACAATTAATTTAATTGTTTATTCTTACATTTAAATAATCATTTTAATTGTTTGTGTATATTATATATCTATTATTTAAATTTTTTTGTTAATTACTAATTTTAATTGCTTAATTTCATCATTTTATTAACATTAAATTTAATTATTTATGTTAATATTTTAATTACAAATTTTAATTGCTTAATTTAATTATTTATTAATACTTAATTTAATTTTTTATTTAAACATTTAAGTAGTTATTTTATTTGTTTATGTATATTATTTATTTAATTATTTATCTTAATTACTAATTTTAATTGCTCAATTTCATTATTTTATTAACACTCAATTTAATTATTCATGTCAATATTTTAATTGCTTAATTTAATTATTTTATTAATACTTAATTTAATTTTTCATTTAAAGATTTAAGTAGTTATTTTTATTTTTGTGTATATAAATTATTTAATTACTAATTTTAATTGCTTAATTTCATTATTTATTAATACTCAATTTAATTATTTATTTTAGTATTTTAATTATAAATTTTAATTGTGTAATTTAATTATTTTAGTAATACTTAATTTTATTTTTTTATTTAACATTTCATTAGTTATTTTAATTGTTTATGTATATTATTTATTTAATTACATATTTACTGATTTTAATTGCTTTTAATTATTTTTTAATTCTTAATTTAATTTTTTTTTCTAACATTTAAATTATCATTTTAATTGTTTATGTATATTATATTTTTATTATTTTATTATTTATCTCAATTACTAATTTTAATTGCTTAATTTCATTATTTTACTAACACTCAATTTAATTATTTATGTTAATATTTTAATTACAATTTTAGTTTTTTAATTTGATTATTTTATAATACTTGATTTAATTTTTTATTTAAACATTTCATTTGTTATTTTAATTGTTTATGTATATTGTATATTTAATTATTTATCTTAATTACTAATTTTAATTGCTTAGTTTCATTATTTTATTAATACTCAATTTCGTTATTTATGTTAATATTTTAATTGCTTAATTTAATTATTTTTGTAATACTTAATTTAATTGTTAATTTAAACATTTCATCAATTTTTTTAATTTTTTATGTATATTATTTTTTAATATTTTATTTATTTATTGCTTGATTAATACTTAATTTAATCGTTTATTTTAATATTCTAATTTTTAATTGTGTGAGTATAATATTTGCTTAGTTTTATTAATTCATTGTATTAATTTATTTATTTTAGTTATTTAATTGTTCATATAGCCTCTGTTTGACCCCCATTTTGTAGAAATGAAAATTGGTTGAATAATATATATATATTTTTTTAAAATGAGTAGTTGAAAAAGAAAGAAAATTTTTCGATTTACGTATAATATTATTTTATGGAAGATTGTGTGGTAGAAAATGGAAGAGAGAAAAATGAAATGTAATGAAATGAAGATTAATGGAGGCCAAACGAGGTAATAATATTGAATTGTTTTTAAAATTGCCTAAAATTAATTAAATTAAAACAATTAAACATAAGTAATTAAAAATTAATTATTAAAAAAAATCTAGATGGAAGCCCAATAGTCTGGGCTGTCTGGAAAAATGCTAGACGCCTGGAAAACAACCATTGGGCCATCTGGAAAATGCCAGACGTCCAGCAGACGGTCGTCTTCCACCTTTTTGGCCGCCTGCAATAAGATAGAGATTGTCATTTCCGACGATCTTCGCTACACTATTGCTTCAAAACACGATTTACAATCATTTTTGTAAATATTTCTTAACAAATATATATAGAAAAACGATTTCAGTAAAAAATAAAAGCTTACCTTCTTCAAGATCAGAGAAATGGCGTTCTAGGTTGTCAATTTTTTGGGTTCTTGGTCGGTGCCTTGGTTGTCGATCCTCTGCTACAGTACACCACCCTTTTCTCTCTTGACAAGTGAGGGTAAACATGTCTTTTCATTGCTTATTTAGTTTTTAAACATTTTTGCTTTTTTTTTTTTTTTTTTTTTTTTTTTTTTTTAAATTTTTTTTTTTTTTTTTTTTTTTTTTTTTTTTTTTTTTTTTTTAAACTTGGTCAAAGGCTATTTTGGAATCAACCGGCCATCTTCCACTAATTCCTCGTCAGGTGGTGCCTTTGACAAAATTGAAAGGAGGTTAAGCTAAATTGTAGCATGAAAAGTGTAGGGAAAATCTGTCCATGGACTGAAGCGTGTTGGGTGGTTCTTCGGTGACACTAGAATGTTTTTCGAAGTCCATTCGGAGCTAAAGACAAGCCCAAATGTGCATGTATACAAGACGAAATTACATTTTTGCTTGTTTTTAAGTTTACATTTCATCATCAGATTTTAAGTTTTAATCTTTCATAAATCAGGTGTATAAAACCCCACCCACCCCACTCCCCAAATCCTATTTTGTAGCAATTTTTTATTCCAAAAAATCATTTTTTTTACCATTATTTCGCTATTCCAAAGTTATTTTTAACTTCTTCGCTCATAGGGGGACTCACTTTTCTTTTTAACGGTCAAAAAATCAATTCTCATAATCACTATCGAATAGATTTCATCCCAGAAATGAGCTTCGCCCTCACACCACAATCTGATCTTCATCCCCCACACCCATTGGTGGCAGCAGCCGTTGTACAATACAACAGCAAGGCTTCATGGCAACATCGCTACACCACAATCTGATCTTCCAAAGAAAGCATCATTAAATTTAGAAAGAAATCTTTCGAAAGCCTATCATAGTTTAAAAGAGCAATTAAATATTTTTATAGATAAGTTCTTGTTGGTTTGTGCTCTATAATGTTCATCTTCCAGTGACGAACAAAAGAGATATTTTGAGTGAAGATATTTGATTGCTCTTTTAATCTATATTTAATGGGGTTCGAAGAGACTTCTTTCTAAATTTAGTGATGAATGTTTTAGAAGAGTCTCAATCATTGATGTTAATATTTGAGCGTCTAGTATTACTTGTAGAATAAAATGAAGAGGAACTGAAAATATTAGTGGAACTATTTTAGTTGGAACACTCATCAGCTTTTTTCTTTTGGGACTGTAAGTCTAACTTCTATTAAGCTTGTCACATTTATTTGATGTTATCCCTTTCTTGATGTCAACTACTTCACTAGCTTATGTTTAATTTTCGTTTTCTTAATTTTTTTGAAGGACTATGTTGCAACTCTGTTGTATGCAGGGGCAGAGCCCAATGAGGTCCAATGCAGGACTGGACTTTCGGGCCCAACCCATTTTTCCCCTTCTTTTAGGAATTGGCCCAGCCAAGAAACCCAAATCCAATTCAATTATCCAACCCATACCGATACCCCATTCGTTGCATTCAACTCTCAGTTCACCCATTTCTTCTCCTTCCACCCCGCCATTCGATTTCCAAGACACTCACAAACATTGCATGGCAGACTACTCAATCTCTGCCGTTTCGCTCCGCCATTCAACGTCTCAACCTCTTAAAAACTCTCACCTAGAGCCGTCTTTCCCCAACCTCGGAACTTTTTGCGATTCTTTTCATTTTCGAGCCCTAGACGGTAGTCTTCAGATGCCTTCGATTCCATTGGCGACTCCATAGACGGTAGCGCAGCAGAAGAAGAAGGTGAAGCCCCCAAAGCAATCATGTTTCTCTTTTCTTTTTATTTTTTATTTTGATTTGTTTAATGTTTCAAACTTTCAATTTTTTCTGTTGGTAAAGTGAACTTAATATTGTTTTTTGAGTTAGATGCCCTATTAATCTTTTCTTGAGATTATTGTGTTTGATTTAAAATCATGTATTAGTTTTGTATTGTATATGGAATTAGCTCTGTGAATTAATTGCTCAGTGAAATGTGAATTACTTTTGCTTCCAGTATTAAATTCACGGTGGAATTGTTCAGTGAATAGCTCTATGGAGTTGAGCCCGGTTGCGAGGCTTCGCCAACTGAGAATAGCTGAGCGGGAGGGTACTTTGTTGCGAGAGCTACTTGAGTTAGAGAACAAGAGAGAGAGGAAAGGATCGGTACTGGCCCTTTTTTGCTTTTAGTATTTGTGATTCTGTAAATTGAATTGATTCCAGTAATTGGATGTTGTGAATTGTTGAGGGAAATTTCTTGAATCTTTCCACTCAAAAAATTGAAAACATGCTCTAAGCTAGTATTTTATCTGAAAAACTGATCATAGTTAAATTAAGCAACATTTCAGGAAAACATAGGGAGTTCTATTATATGGTTGAGTGTTGGTGATTTTTATTTTTGTGTCCGAATCAAAATATTTAATTTGCTCAAGTATTGTTTTCTAGATTTTAAATCTATATTATCTCTAGAACTAGATTAATTGAAGCTTGCTCATTTTGTAGGGCAAATTGGATATGCTCTTGCTCCTATGATTGTTAGGGATGTGATGTTGGGTGCTGACCAATCCATCATCCTTATTCCTTCACATGCTAGATATTCCTCATGCTGCTGAGGCGCTAAATGGAGTGAGATCAGATTGGTCAATGCTGCATTCCCTCTTCTCAAAGGTTAGTAATTTACTTCTAAGTAGTGAAAAAAATAGTCAATAGTTTCATGTATTTTGACATTTTGTACGCCAGATAAGATATAGGTTAAAACTTACAAGTGGATAACTTGTATCTATCTATCTATTATGCTATTTAAATCACGTGGTGTTGCAACAACTAATGTTGTTGAAGCATGCAATGGAGTCAACATTACAATGATGGTTGGTGGTTTCCCCTGGAAAGAGGAAAGATGTGAATCATGTGATATTAAAGAATGTTTCATATACAAATCTCAGGCTTCAGTTCTTGAGAAGCGTGCTGTTGCCAACTGCAAGGTAATTGGATTAGTTGTGTCATTTTTAGTATTGCTGTAATATTGTTTTGTATTTTTATCATCATTAAATTCATAGTCAAAAAATCAAAATTCGACATTAAATTGTGCTCGCATTGAAAAATATTCCTGGCTCCGCCCCTGGTTGTATGGTGCTCCAAAGCCATGTGGATCTATTTTCTCCAAAGTAAGCTATGTAGGAACACCCAGCTGTTTCTTTAATTATTATTTTTGTAATCTAATTTTGCATACACGTTTATGTACAGGAAAAAATAAATTCGCTGAAAGTCTAATAAAAAATTATTTCAATGTGTAAACGATCTTACTTGTATAAATATTTTTAGATGAGCTCAGGAGGTATTTCTGTTCTATAAAGTTAAAACTATTAACCAACAACAGAAAGCAAATTTCACATATACACACTCATGTAAGGCTAACAAAAAATCAACAGGGTGCTAATGAAGTAGTAATACATGCCCGAAATAAATATTTATTATCAATACTCTATTAAATGTATTAATTTAATGTGAACGATGATAGAAACTGACAAAAGAGGAAAGAATAAATTTAATTCTACACTAACACACGTCAGGCAAACTTCTCAGTTGAACAACTTGTATAAATTTAATTCAACCAGTAGAAAAAAATCTGAGAGTTATCAACAGAGTTGTTAATCTGTATACAATCTTACAAGAAACATAATAAATACTGAGTTGTAATTCATTTACATCCTTGCAGTAAGACTATTGGTTGAACAACAAATTTTACTTCAAATTAGTAAAATCGAAACATGGAATAAAAGAAGCAATCAAACAAATAAAAATAAAGGCAAGAAAAAAGCAGAACAAGCATATATAAGTAGAACAAGAGATGGAAAAAAAAATATAAAACTCGCTCAAAGTTCATAAACCCTCAACACAAAAAAATAATCGACCAAATACAGATTTAAAAATTGGAACAAATACACAAAACAAAAGCAAAAGATGGGAATGACAAAAATTCTCACTACAATTTAGAAAACCCTAAACACAAAAATGAGGTCGACCGAATAGAAGTAGAAATAGAGAAATCAAAGAAACGTACACAACAAAGGCAAGAGATAAAGATCCTTAAAGGAATTAGGGTATACTTTCTCCGAAAAATTGCCCCTCATTCGTAAAATTTCAACATAGATTCAAACGAGGCAAGGAGCGACGTAATGAACAATTAGCAGTAGAAAGAAAGATCTTCGAACAATAATAGAGCAAAAAAGTTAAATGGACTTATGAGGATTTCGATTTCACGGTTAGAACTGAGATTTTGTGTAGAGATTTGCAAGGGTTTTTTGAATTTTGCGAGAGGGGAGGAGAATAGGGTTTGAAGAGAAACTCACCATCTGAAATACAATGCAGAAAATTCAGTTGACCAGTATAATTATTACAGGGATATTGTAACCTTTTTTAATGAAGAATAGTGCGGACCGGCTCAAATCCAACGTAACATGAACGCCGTGGTCCATAAATGAATAGTACAACGGAAAGATTAAATAGAAAAGAAAAACAAAATAAGAAAAGGAGAGGAGAGGAGAGGAGAAACCACTAGCAACCTCGTCATTGTGTTCTTCGTCAATGTTTTCTTTCTTGGTAATTATGTGCGTAATTGAAACTTTAGAAACTGATGTGTGTTTTTCGTGGCCTCTTTGCTTTCTATTTTCATCTATATAATTTTTTTTTTCCAAATTGAAATTAACTATTTTTTTCCACTACAATACTTTTTAGTAAGTCATGTACTTGCCGTTCATTTAGTAGTCATATTTGACAGAAACGGTCCAAAATCACTACAAATTCAGCTATATTGAAAGGTTGAGCACCAAAATGCTTCACCTCAAAGATTAAAGGCCAAGTTACTAAAAATACTATAGATTGGAAACCAATATTAAAATATTATTAAAGCCCCGTTTGGCCCCATCAAATCTCATCAAATTAAATTAAATTTTTTTCTCTCATATTTTTAATCATCCAATTTTTAATAAAATAATATTATATGTAAATAAAAACATTTTATTCTTTTACAACTATCTATTTTTTGCCCCCGTTTAAATCAAATTATTGTAAAAATGAAAATAAAAATTATAGTCGTTATGGCCTAACGCAAGATATAAAAAATTAAATATGGTGGCTTAATGTGATGAATAACGGTCATATTTTTCATTTTAATGAAAAAATAATAGGACTCAAACAAGGCCTTCAAAAAAAGAATAATGCTGTTTGCAGTGAAAACTATCGATAGTCGCTCTATGTGACGTATACTTGACAGTTTTCTATTTGATGTATAATTCAAAAAATAACTACCATATTTATGTATCAAATATGAAATTGTCAAGTATATATCACATAAAACAACTACTGACAATTTTCACTACGAATAACATTACTCTCGGGAAAAAAAAAAGGGGCGAGAGGGTCGGTGGGGCTAAATGCTTCTTGGTCCTTACTTTCATGGTAAAATCGTAAATGACCAACCAATGCTGGGCATATTAGAGGTACGCAAAACCCTAATTCCATCCCCCTTAAATTCATCGCATCCGTATGAGCTTTGCTCTGTTGCACCCAAACCTAGGTAGCGTAGCCTCTTCCAGGGTTTAGATTTCCCCCTTCTACAACACAGAGAAGCAAAACTCCACCCAAATATGGCGCCGTCAACCCAGTCCGTACAGTGCTTCGGCCGGAAGAAAACCGCCGTCGCCGTGACCCACTGCAAGAGCGGCCGAGGCTTGATAAAAATCAACGGAGTACCGATCGAGCTGGTCCAGCCTGAGATCCTTCGCTACAAGGCGTTCGAGCCCATTCTTCTTCTCGGCCGCCACCGTTTCGCTGGAGTCGACATGCGCATCCGCGTCAAGGGCGGTGGTCACACCTCTCAAATCTACGCAATCCGTCAGTCTATTGCTAAGGCCCTCGTTGCGTTCTACCAGAAGTACGTTGACGAACAGTCCAAGAAGGAGATCAAGGATATTTTGGTGAGGTACGATAGGACCCTTTTGGTGGCTGATCCTAGGCGCTGCGAGCCGAAGAAGTTTGGGGGTCGTGGTGCTCGTGCTAGATTCCAGAAGTCTTACCGTTGAAATGTCGGTAGTGTCGCTGCCTTTGTTATTGATATTACCACTTTTGTCTTTTGAGATTATTGTTAGTATTGTTATGTTTTATTTACTGAATTTTCTGCTATGTTTTGGATATTGTTTTCCTTTTTGTTTCGTTGTAGAAAGAGCATTTTGAGATACATTATCTAATATTTATATTTTCGTTCATTGGAATTGTTTTGTTTCCGCTTATGGTGCTCTGGTTTCTTATTGGATTTATATTTAAGTGCTGTTATTTGTGAATTGTGATTCTATTGCTTGTTCTTTTATGGATAATTTGTGTAGTGTCCTGTTTCGTGTTGAAGGATTGAGTGAGATATTGATGAGGCTTTGGTTTTGATTAATTAGTACCATACATTTTCGCTGTTAAGTGTAAGTGTCTTCCTGATAACTTAAGTCAGTTCATCTTCTCCTACTTCCTCTATTCCTCTCATCCCGGATGGCTCCAATTGGTGACCAGATGCCAAAACCACAGTGCATCCGTGAACAACTTCTAATTGGTTACCTCTTGTTCCTCCTAGCTATATCTGATGTCTTCTATTGTCTTTTGGCCAAATCCTCGTACCTGACTGTAAAAAACTCCTTCCACTTTGATAAGGAAACTGTTTTTCTAGAGAAGAATTACAAGCAACATTGTATTTATTTACGAATGCACTTGGTTGACAAGTTCTCTCCAATCTTTAAATGGACAAGTTAAAAGCTTTCTTAATTTTTGATTGTAAAGGGCTAGTTGAAATGGGTTTGTTGGATTTAAGCACATTATCACCAACTTCCATTTGGAGTAAGATTTCAAGTCTACTGATGAGGCCTCAATAGTTCATTTTTGGAGCCTCAATGAGGATAATACAAATTGTTCTTTTGATTTTTGCACCAAAAAGATTTCCCTTTGTCTTTTTGGTAATGCATCCCTTTTCTCAATACTTGATGCCTTTGGTCACTCAGCTATAGATCAATGAAGCTTACTCCCAGCTCACAAGTTTCTGGCTAGAGTGTATTTTGAGATTGATTTTCCTATGCTTATGATATCAAGTGCTAGGGTTGGTAATGAGATTTGGATTTTGGCAAATATTTGAGCATGAATTGTTCCACAATTTTACTGCAATTGCCACCATTTGGGACATTTGTTGAACAATTGTTTGGTGTTTACAGCTGAAAAGGAAAGATGGAATTGACAAGCCCCCCCTCTTGCCCTTCTAGTTCTGCTTTCTATCTAGCCCTGCAACAAACCCACTTCACTGCTGATGTTTTTGTTGGTGCTAATTGTTGTTAGCAGAGTGGTTCATTGACCTGAATAAACTATGCGTTCTCTCCTTTATGTTTTTATTGGTGTGGACAACTCAGGCTCTTCTTTATTTACCAGCATCTCTCCCCTGACTTCCTGCTGGATTTCTTCCTGAAAGCTTGTTTAGTTCAGATTTTTAAGGGAAAAATCCTTTTTTATTTTTGAGAATGTATGGTTGAGAAGTGGGAAAAAGTTGCGTCTCATAAAATGTTTGCTTGAAAATGATTTTGGAGATAGATAATTTAAAAATATGTGTGCCAAACAAGCCTTTGTTGACACAGCGCCCTTTTGTGTTGAGGGCGTACAGTTGTCTTCTCTTTTCTGCTTAACTTAGACTTTAGCTCCCAAATCAATCACCTTTTGGTGGTTGTGCTAAATGTACATAATGGTTTACCTACATATGATTTGGTGAAATATGATTGGGTTAGAATTTTTCAACAAAAAAAAAAAAAAAAAAAAAAACTTCTCCCTTCTCTTTTTAATAGTATGTAAATTATTATGTAATTCATTTGTGTACAAGTAGCATTATTCTTTGGAAGAGACAAAATTTGATGGGTAATTGGTGAAATACCTGTAATCTTTAGTGATTTTGCACAATATTTTCTAATCTTTCAGTTTGGATCAAAACCTCCCAGATCAACCAAACTTCGCGTAATATTAAACTGCTGTCAATTTCTGTTAGGTTTTTGGTTGAACTTGTGGAGGACGAGCAACTCCCAATTTCCACTTTACGTCATGTTTGTTCAAAGTGGACGTGGGAGAGGGACCAATGACATCGACAAAGAAATTCCAATACTCAAGTGATATTGTGGGTTTTTATTCATTGCAATATTGCAATTCTGCCTCACAGGAAGTTGATCCTAATATGGAGAATGAAGGCACGTTAGGTTTAGATAATATAGATCAGTTTCTATCCGACCTAGCAAATGCTATTCTTGGAATTGATGAGGCTGAGTTTTGTGTAAATGTTGAAGCAACGTTAAGTTGTACTTAATGTTTTCCTCATTTACTAACACTTGCCTATAGATATGGGCAGCCGTGATATTGACCCGATGCATATCAAAACTTTTGGTCTGTTATTGCAAGAAGGGACGGTGCTACTGAAACAGGGCCTATGTGACAAGAATTATTCTTGCAAGAAAATTTAATGCCTAGGTGGTTGTCACGTATTTAATGATGGTAAATAATATTTAGTACAGGTTTGAATTCCTCGGGAAATTATTGTGAGCATGCTTATGATTTTGTGACCGTGCATTTGATTCTTTAGGCATGTGATTTCTTTCGGGTACATTCACAGGCAAATGATTGCGTCAGACGTCAGTACTTAATTATGCCCTGTTTGACCTCCATTTCTTGGTAATGAAAATGGGTGGAATAATATTTTTTTTGAAAAATGAGTGGTTAAAAAAGAAGGAAAAGTTTTCGATTCACGTGTAATAATATTTTATGGAAGATTGTATGATTGAAAATATAAGAGAGAAAAATAGAATGCAATAAAATGTAATTTAATGGGACCAAATAGGGGCTATAACTGTTTATTATAATTTTAAAGAAGTTACCTTTTTTTCTCTGTAGCCGTCCCAAAATCAGAGTCCCATTTTTTATTAGTTCATTTCTAATCACAAATATTTTCAATAAATTTTTACTTACGTTTTAATTATACGTTCTTAAAAAAAATCACTATTGTAACATCTGATTTTTCCAAAAAAAAAAAAAAAAAAAAGGAAAAAAAAGAAGAAGGCTCAAATATACTTTATATCCATGCCAAACGCTTTTACATCATGGTGGTTGCAAGGGAAGAGCAGCAAGCTTTCAAAACAGCTCCATGGGGATGCACTTCAATTATATTTTATTTGAAATGAGCCATCCTCAAGGGGGTGAATATCGTTTTAAATATTTTGATGTAATATAACATAATTCAATTTTATATTAGGTAGCTTTATTATTTAATAAATACGAATTTTAAGAAGACAAAACTTAGCCCTTGTTTGATTTCCATTCTTTAGAAAAAAATAAATTCTTCTGTAGTGTTTTGATATTATTTTAACTACGCATTCTTCAAAAAAATAATATTACACGTAAATTTAAAATTTTTTGTTATTTTTTAAATACATATTTTTTATCGATACACTATTTAAAAATTCATTTTTCTCCACAAAATGGGGTCCAAACAAGGGCTTGTGCTTTTAGAAAGTAAATTTTAATTTAAAAAATAAACTTTTGACTAGAATTTCTAACGATAGGCCATCAACAAGTTTTCAATGACACACCAGACAGAGATGATCGTTTTAAAACCGAACCATAATAAAATATCAATAAATGACTTTTCATACTTGAAAAGCAGCAAAGTCACATTTCGCACTCTCTACCACCATTATTATGGAGAATCTTGGAAGAGACGAGCCACTGACGCCTGCCGGCCGTCTTTTCGTCAGCCCGATAATGAACCAAATCATTAACTGTGTCATTGCCGGCGAAAATCCGATAGATATTGAGGCTGTGAGGGCCGAGATAAACAACTCCATAATGGTCAAACACCCTAGATTCTGCAGCCTTTTGGTCAAAGACTCCTATGGCCGAGAGCACTGGCGGAGGACGGTGGTTGACGTCGACCGCCACCTCATCATCCGACATGATGCACTCTCCGACGACCCTTTGGTTTCCGATGAAGTGGCGGTGAATGAGTACTTGGCCGATCTGTCAGTTTCTTCTCCACTCGGTACTGATAAACCATTATGGGAAATCCATCTCCTTATGGCGTGTAACTCTGCTGTTTTTCGAGTTCACCACGCTTTGGGAGATGGGATTTCTTTGATGTCCTTGCTTCTGACATGCTGCCGGAGAGCCGACGATCCTTCAACGCGGCCGACAATAGGTGGCATTGGCGCTGGCTCCTCTCCCATGCTTAAACGGAGGTGGGATTTCTGGACACTATTGAAGGCGGCGTGGTATACTTTGGTGTACGTTTTGGAGTTTATAATGAGGGGTTTATGGCTGAAGGATAGGAGCACTGCCCTCAGCGGCGGCGCTGGGGTGGAGCTCTGGCCAAGGAAGTTGGTCACGGCGAAGTTTCAGCTTGATGACCTGAAGACAGTCAAGAGAGCAGTGGCTGACGCGGTAAGATTTCTAGACCGTTAGATTTAGAACAACCTTTTCTTGCATATATCAAGACCATTGGTATTGCTGTATTGGGAGTCAGTATAGTTTGACTGGTCATCGAATTTTGACTTTATGACTCAAACTAATTTCCGACAAAAACCTTATATTTGAAAACTGTTTGGAAGTGGTTTTGAGAATTGATTTTTTGATCGTTAGAAAAAATGTGGGGTTCACCTGTTAGAGAAGAAGTCGAATATGACGGCTGGAATAGTAAAATAACGATCAAAAAATAAAAAAAATGGGGCCCAAACAGGCCCTAAGTTCCCTTTGGCCTAATTTTGGGGAAATGAAAATGAGTGAAATAGTAATTTTTTGAAAAATAAATGGTTGAAATTGATTTACTTGTAATATTGTTTTATAAAAGTTTGTATGATTGAAAATTGGAGAGAGAGAAAAAAAAATTGAAATTGAAATTAATGGAGGTCAAACTGGGACTAAAACGCAGACCACATGAGTAATTAGATTTTCAGTCCACTTTTAGCCATTTGGTTTCACACGTGGCATTTTGCTACCTTTATAGTTTATACAGATTGAGGGTTAGATGACAGGTTAAATCAAATGCCATTTAATTATTTAGATTCTATATGGTTTAGATTAAAATTTGATTTTAATTTAAATCATAGTCAAGCAATTAATATCAACAACGTTCTTCATGGGTTTCATAACTTTTTAACCATACATTTCAAAAATTTCTATCAAAATTTACTAAAAAAATTTAATTTAACTCCTACAAAAACCCTTTTAATGCC